TTGTTGATACCCAATTTTTCCCTATATATTTTTAATATGCATAAATACTTTCAAAAATAGCATATATATGCATATATAAGCATGCACAAGGTTTTTATAATTTTTCTATATTTTTAAAGATTTTAAATTGATTTATTTCCTTCCATTTTTCCTCATAAATCCCCAATAATTATCCCTCAAATTATTGTCGTGGTAATTCAGTCATCTAATTCTATATTTATGCCAAAAAATTGTTAAAATATTTTAGTGCATTTTTACAATTGCATTTTGCATTTTTAAAGCTAAATTATAATATTAGCCTTATTAATGTACAATTACGTTTTATATGCATAAAATGATCTTTTATATTTTTAAAATGTTAAATATCTATTTTTAAATCATTTTAGTACACAAAATGATTTTTAGAAATTATTTATTATTTATTATAAATTATATAGGGTTAAATTGGCTATTTAAAACCAAGCCAGATTGCATTTCAATTTAGGCTCAATTTTAACCCAACCCCAGTCCAATTCCTAATCGAATTACCCGACCCAGGCCCCAAACACATCCTACCCGACCCAAAACCCATCAGATCCTGGCCGTTGATCTGAAATCAACGGCCCGTATTGTTTCTTGCCTTTTTTAATTCTAAACCACCCCCAACCCTAATCATTTTCCTACATCTGCCACCCTAAGATCCTCTCCTCTCTCAGTACACTCTCAACCTAACCCTAGCCCTTCAACCGCCGACCTCTTCTCTCCGGTCATCTCCGGTGACCTCTCATCGTCTCCTACGCCTCCAATGGCTTCTCTCATGCCATGCTTGCCTTCTCTAAGGTCTTTAACGGCCTAGGGCCATGCCGACTTGCATCTAGGGTTCGTCACTTTGTCTGTTCTTGGCTACTCCAGTATGATTTCGAGCAAAATCATGCTGTATCTATTACGATCCTTGGGATTTTATGGGTTTCTTCTGAAACCCTAATTTCTTCCTATATCTCTTAGATCTGTACAGATCTAGGACGATTTGAGTTTGTTTCTTTAATGTTTTACACGGTCCATAGAACTCTTTACAAGAATCGTTGATTTCAAGTATTTTTCACCTTCTTCTAAAAATTAGGGTTTCGGAACTTCTTTTACAACTTTGTTTAACTGATTCTTTGTGTTTAAACTTCTATTTCTTGTATCATTTTTACTGATTCTATGAGTTTATCACATCTTTAACTCGTTGAAAGCCCTAATTTTCTAGGTTTCTTCGTTTGATTTCTGTGACTGGCCTGTTCTCGTTTGAGTTTCTGTGACTATCTCGCCTCGAATATGTTTCTACTGAGTTTCTTATGCCTAACTTATATCAGCTCTATGTGCTTGTGTTCATCTTGACTGTTCAAGACTTGCCTCTTTGCTTGCTATGTCTGGTTATCCTTATCTTGCTCTATTTATATGCTAAACACTTACTCGTGACTTTCTCTTTGATTGATTCTGGATTCCCTGTTTCATGGTTTGATTGGAAGACCTTCCTTTAAACTTTCGATTCCTACCCTTTCTATTTCAAAATTAATTGATTCGCCTACCTTGTTTGCATTGGTACTTTATTCTTACTGGCTATCTCCTTAATTAGAGTTTTCTGAACTTAGCCCTAATTGTTTACCCTATACTTACTGAATTTGAAATCTTTCCTCATGGGTCGTACATTGATTTCTTTCCTTATTTGTTACTCGTTCTTACCGTTTGAATTGATTCCCTTAGCTTAAGGGAGTACTTGTGCTAATTTTGCTCTAAGAGTTCCATAATTACTATACCATTGTGATTCTTGCCTTATTTTACCTAGCTTCGAACTACTATATATACCTACTCTCTCATTAACACAAACACACGAGACATTGGTTCAAAAACTCTCTCTTTCACACTAAAAGCTTTCTGCTCTCTTTTGTGTTACTTACTACTGTCTAAAGTCAGCCGGCTGCAAGCCAAGGCTAACTACTGGGTTCTCTTTCACTTTGTGTTTACTATCCCCTTACTGGTATGTTCTGATTTTAATTCAAGTCCCAAAACAATATGCTTCTCCTATTACTTCAATTTGTCATGTTTCTAATATGCTTCCATCTATGATTTTGTTGTTCAACCTGCAATTAACATGTCTACTTCACTGTCTTCTTTGTTGCATGTTATATACCCCCTTAGGATCCCCTTCTAGTGTGCCCCAATCTGACTATGTTTCTCTGATCCCTGGCATGCACCTTCCTGTATGAAGTAATTGGCTATCCTAAGCCTATTGATTCTGTATTAACTCTAAAGTGCATGTTACTTTAAAAGCCTTGACCTCCTTTAAGGCTCCTCTGATTTTGTACCTATGTGCATCTGTGCTTACTATGTGCCCTATGCTTACCCCAAATCCCCATTACCCCTAAGTGGATGTGTGCACCTGTTGACTCCATGTATTGAAGTGTTGATGAACTTCTTCTGGTTCTGTATTGTGTTTGATTGATTGTTAGCCACCTTACCTTTTTTTAAAAATTGTCTTATTTAATAACTCCCTATGTGTTTTCTTACAAAACTATTTCAAGCAAATCTCTTTTTAACACTGTTTTCCTACTGAAACCTTTCAAACTGTGTCAAGCACTCTCACTCTACTCCTATGTCACTAGGTTCTGCCCCCTCCAGTGTGTGTACTGCCTTGGGATCCTCTTGAAAACCCTCTGAACTCTGGCACACTGAGGCTGGCCCTTCCACACTGCACTTACTCAATTTGGTTACAAAGTCTAGGTGTGAGCACTGCCCGGGATCCTTGAGATCCTTAGGGAATGATATTGTCTATGAAATTGGCATTTGAGGCTATTGGAGGTCTTGGGAAATCACTTGGGCCTGCTTCAGGCTCCCTATAGTGTAACTTCTTCTTTTCTTTTTATCTATTTATGTAATTCATTCATCTGGTTTGTAAAAATTTGTAAACGAATATTGGGGTGACTAGTGAAAAAGGGTGGGTAGTTACATATTTGTGGGTTAAATGGGTAGAAACCATTCCTATAGGATTTTATATTTGTTATGTTTGCCTTACCATGTTAGAAATCATGCCTATAGGTCTCAAGTGGGTCCAATAATAGAAATCATATTTATAGGTCTTAAAATCAACTTCACAAGTAGATACCATGCCTATAGGATATGATCCAGTTCAACTTCTGTTATAACGGGTATTTACATGTGTTTTCATTTGTTATCATGCCTACAAGTTTCTAACATCAGCTCTTAACAATTAGATACCATGCCTATAGGGAACAACATCAAAAATTATGCCTATAGATCTAAAATCAGTTTAGTTTAAATAAGTTAATCCAGTTCATGATTAGTTTACTTCGAAACTGGTGTAATTAGTGGTTTGTTTTCCCTGAAATGAATTCTTTCGAGTATTGCCCTAATTCACTATTAGAAAGCATGCCTATAGGAACTCAAGAGTCTGTTTTAAAATCCGTCCACTGTTTTACTATGTCAAACGTAGTCATCATGCTCTTAGGACACCACTATTCAGCGTGTAGGCAAGCCTATAGGGCGTTTTCAAATCCTGCAGCTCTGAAGCTGTTTCTGCTACTTAATGTTGTTCTGATTTTAGCAGGCTTAAAATCAGTAGGCAAACGGATAGGGCCATTACTTCTGAGTTTATAAAATAAAAACTGCATATCTCATGTGTTCTGATATTCACCTAGACATCATGTCTTAGGATACTGTCTAACAATATTGCCCTTATTTGTGTTTGAGTCGTGCAGTTTACATGCATTATCTGTGGAGGCGAACTTGAGCCTCTAATTGCTTCTTTTCTGCCTTATGTGCTAAGGTCCTATTTGTTCTTGCATGTCGCCTTAGAATTTTCTCCTTTTAAGCACCTTAGGGGTCGTCTAGAACTGCCCAGATTTAGAGGTCCTAAAATACCTCCAGGGCCACGAGGAAGGGACGGGTAGTGCACGCATAGGCATCGTCAAGTATACTAGCACGCTTTAGGCTATGACCACGGGGTGGGAAGGGTAGATATGGGATATGATGACTACGCACTAATGTCACGTGTAGCCCCTCATTGAGGAGTGTTTACCGGACATTGTGTGGGGTGATCATGTAGGCTAAACAACCTAGGACCCCTCCTTTCCCAAATCCCTTTTGTTTAAAACTTTGTTTTATATGTATACAACTTGTTCAAAACCTTTGTCCTATTATTTGAGTTATACAACGTCCAACGTGCTTTACTTGCAAACTATTTGATTAAACTATTTATTTGTTAATTGACTAATGTATTAATATAAGTTCGGGCAGGACCCACCATTGTGGACCGAGAGGGGTGCCTAACACCTTCCCCTCAAGGTTATTTCGAGCCCTTACCCTAAATCTCTGGTAATGCAAACCAATCCAAGAGTTAAGTTACTACCCCCATGAATGCCGAAACCCGGACCTTCTTCCCTGTAAAAAGGGAGGGAAAAAGGGGGCGCGACACTTGTAATGTCACTTAATCTATGATATATGCTTCTTTGTTGGCCAAATAAAAAAGGAGTATTTCAACTCTTAATTTTATATATTCCCGCTTTAGTCAACGTTTATTCTTATTATAAATCATTAGCACTAAAAAGTTTCATTAATATCCTATCCGATTTACTAATATTATTATCAATTAGAAAATGCTTTTTAAAAAATATTTTTTATTCGCCAACCAAATATCAAAAAATATTTTTCATAAAATCAGTTATTTTCCGGACAGTATTTTCAAAAAATAACTTTCATTATTATCGAACACACCCTTAATTATGAATTGTCTCATAAGTCCTACTTTTAAAAAAACATAAATAAAGAATAAAAGAATTGTATCCTTAAATCTATTACGAAATCTATTCCTGGTAACAAATACTCCTACCTTGATATCAATAATAGATTTGAGCTTGAGACCCACAAATACAGGTGGTTGAAGAAAATGAATTATGATAGCTCAAATAGGGTCCAAATGAACCGTCGTCCATATACACCTAATGCTTAATGAAACCATTTCATAATTGACAAAAGGCAGGACAATAAATTAGCTTTTAGCAATTCGCACAACTCTTTGAAAACGAAACATGTCGCTCTGCTTCTGTCTACACTTTTTTGTATCATTCCTCACCAACAAATCCAAATTATATCACAAAAATGCACTACTAGTTCTATAACTGTACAAAAAAAAATGCACTGCAAAATTTTTTTTTTTTTTTCAATCAACTTATTTCCTATTTTCAGACTGTTTTAGAAGAAATTCATCACTTCTTGGTGGTCCATCTGATGAACTTTGTATACTAGAGGACCCTGTCCCTGTAGTAGTGGTATAAGATTCATCTAATTTAAAGAGTGTACTTGAGACTAAACTTCTTATGCTAGATTTAAGAGAGCCGCCAGCTAATAAACTTGAATTTAAGAAAGGTGGTTGGCATGGTTCTGGAATTTGATAATCTTCACATGTTAACATTTGGACAACTTCAGTCATTGATGGTCTTAAAGCGACAGAAGCTTGAGTGCATAATAGCCCCACTTTTAGGACCTTTGATGCCTCTTTTGGTGGAAAATTGCCTTTTAACAGAGGGTCTAATGCTTCAGTAACTTGATTTGTTGTGTAGAGTTTCCACACCTGAAAATTAAAATGACAAATTTACTAAACTCCAGCAAATTCAAGTTAATACTGACAAGAACGGAATAATATCATATATGGTCACTGAATTTTATTTACTATATATAACGATAAAGTCGCATAACTATATACTATATATATTTTCACACTAGACTAATTGAGCTTTACATGTTTTTATGGCCAAGGGTGGTCAAATGAATACCCTTCAACTTATACAATGTATATGGTAAATTATTACTTGTTATTGAGTAATACAATAGACTTGAACACCCTGCAAAGAGTATTCAAAATTTGAACCATCTTATTAAGTTTTCTGGCTTCGCCACTGCTATTACATTGAAGTACAAACTTTTTATTGAAGTTCTCAAAGTTTACTCACTATGACAATAAAATTACTAAGAGCCTGTTTGGATCGGCTAAAAAAAATGGCTTTTCAGCAGAAATAGCTTTTAAGCCAAAAAGCAATAAGTTGGGATTGCCCAACTTATTGCTTTTGGCTTGTTTTAAACAGTTTTTAACTTATTTTAAGCACTTTTTGACTTTGTCAAACACTGAAAAAACTAAAAAGAGCTTAAAATCTAATCCAAACACCCTCTAAATCTTATCTACTCAATACAGAAAAACTGCCTTGATGGGTAGATATTGTCGTTATAGTTGGTAAAATTTAGTGATTTTACTATATATTGTAGAGAAATTTTACTGTTATAGTAAGTAAAATTCAATTTAATGTAACAAAAATAGTCTTGTGACTTTTTCATTATAGTGAATAAAGTTGGGTGATCATAGGTGAAATTAACAATAAGGAAAAATTTGCAGCATTCTTACTGTTTGTAGTAGAGATCCAGAATCCTCAGCAAAGGCAATGTTTTTTCTGCCACAAACAATTTCAAGAACAAGCACTCCATAACTATAGACATCAGCCTTCTCTGTTAGCTGTCCTTTTACTAGGTATTCAGGAGCCATATATCCTCTGTACAACCAAAAAAATAATTAAAAATCACAATGTAGGTAAAAAGAGAGAACCATTGTTGGTGAATTGTATTTTATCTTACAATGTGCCAGCAATTCCAGTACTAAGATGAGTTTTATCAGCTGCAAAACACCGAGCAAGTCCAAAATCAGCGATTTTTGCTTCAAGATTTTCATCGAGAAGTACATTGGAACTCTTGATGTCCCTATGAATGATTCTGATTTCTGAACCTCCATGTAAGAATGCAAGGCCTTCTGCTGTTCCAACTATAATATGGAAACGTTCTTCCCAACTTAGAATCTTTATCTTGTTCTTGTCTACATCAGAAAATATTCCACAACTCAATTAGAAGTCTGCATTTTGTCACTACATAATTACTTGGAGATGTAAATGTAAGAATGATGCAGCTACTGTAAATACAACAACAACAACAACCCAGTGTAATCCCACTAGTGAAGTCTGGGGAGAGTAAAATGTACGCAGACCTTACCCCTTCTGTTGGGTGCAGTGGCGAAGCCACATGGTGATAAGGATGGTCAACTGACCACCATTCGTCGAAAAATTGCACTGTGTATATAGGTAAAATATTACATTTTAGAGGTATGTAACACATATTGAACACCCTTTATCGGAAATTTTCTTCACTTCTTTTAATTTGAACGCCCTTGACTAAATTTCTAGCTTCGCCACTGGTTGGGTGTGCGAACAAAGTCCCACATTGGTAGCTGAAAAGACTGGGAGCCTACATATAAGGGGTAGAGATCTCTTCATGGTGTAAGGCCTTTTTGGAAAAACCGTGCGGGCTCGGCCCAAAGCGGACAATATCACATCATGTTAAGACTGTCTTTGGGCTAGTTTTAGCCCAACACCTACCTTCAAGAAGGCAGAGAGACTGCTTTTACTAGAATGCAGTAATTTCTGTATGATCACTACATTTTATTCACTATAACAGTAAAATCATAAAAATTACTTGCTACAACTGTAAGTCACTAAATTGTACTCATTTAACAGTATAATCATAAAACTAAATTTTACTCACTTAACAGTATAATCATAAAACTATATTTTGTCATATTAAACTAACTGAACTTTATCCACGCTAATATAAAATCATTCAACCTTTTCCACTATAACAACAAAAGCCTTCCATCAAGGTGGCTTTACCGTTATATATTGGGTAAAGTTTAATTATTTTAATGTGATTAAAAAATAACTGTGACATTACTTTTAGAAGCAAAAAAGGTAGCTTTAAGACAGGTGTCGTTATAATGAGTAAAGTTTAGTGACAATACGTGAAATTAATTCAGAAAAAAAAAAAAGAGAGAGAGAAAGAGAATTACCAAAGAGGTATTGGTCCAAGCTCTTATTTGGCACAAACTCATATACGAGCAAGCTCTCGGGGCCTTCAATACTACAACCCAACAACTTAACAAGATTTTTGTGTTCAATTCCATTGATTAGATTAACTTCATTGAAGAATTCATCAACCCATTGTCTTGTATTGAAAAACAATCTCTTAACTGCAATAACATTTCCATTAGGCAGAGTTCCTTTATATACAGAACCATTTCCTCCTTGGCCTACTTTAGTTGAAGAATCAAAGTAATTTGTTGCCTTCTCAAGATTTTCATACTTATAATTCAAGCTTGATCTGTTGTATGAACTCGATATTTTTCCAAGATTAATGCGTTCTGCGACAATGCAACCAAAAAATTACATTACTTTTTAAACTTACGTAACATTATCAACTGTAACAGTATAGTCACAAAATTATTTTATTTTAATATTGTGATGAATTGAATACCTCGTTCTCGCGTTAATGATCTTTTACGAGCTGCGTAAGCTACAAAGAGAGCCAGCATTATTAAAGCTGTCACACCAAGAACAATAGCTACTATAACTCCTTTGCTTACCCCTGAAAATAAGAGCATTTTGATTAAAAAATGTAGAAAAGTCTATCGGTAAAAGTCAAAAGAGGGGCACAGAAAGTAACGTAGCCAAATTTTGACAACCAAATTCCAATTTTATAATAGGAAAAGTTTGAATTGAAGGTCATGAAACTTTAGAAAATATGGCATTTCAACGTTACATTAGTACTAATTAATGATGCCGTCCAAAGAAAATCTAAGCAATAGGAAAATTTGACAAAAGGTGGATGCAGCCATATTTATTGGGTTTACCTCATCCCTCTAGGTGCCCTAACGCACAATAATCCGTTAGGTGGCGACTCTTCAAAATACCCAATTCCCAAAAGGAAATGAGTTACTACCCCCATGAATGCCGAAACCCGGACCTTCTTCCCCGTAAAAAGGGAGGGAAAAACGGGGGCGCGACAGCATGGCGACTCTGCTGGGGATACCTTTTAGGCTCTTACCATAACGAACTTATCTTTTTATAAATTAGTCCAAGCATGCTTTATCCCGTACCCTTCCCCTTATTTGAATTTAACTGTCCATTTTTTTTAAGCGTTTATGGTTCTTTATCCCTGAAACTGACTTGTCTCTTTGTTTTCTTTTTCCCTATAACTGTCTTTCAGTTATTTAAATGCTGTATTTATTTTTCCCTACGTGCAAATACTTGACTACATGTTATTAATTGCNTATATATATATATATATATATATATATATATATATATATATATATATATATATATATATATATATATATATATATATATATATATATATATATGCTCTACTAAAATTTCAAAAAGTATTAAATTCTCAACTTGTAATTTTAAAAGTATAACGTTTCAGTGCTAAAATCCTTAAAAATAAAATCTATCAACTTTCAATTTTTGAATCCATTTTGGAATCCGACTAAAACATGAAAGTGGTCCGACCCTTCCCCGTAACTCGCGCATAACGGGAGTTTAGTACACCGGGCTACCTTTTTTTTTTACTAAAACGTGAAAGTGGAAAAGTGTGCTTGAACCAAATTCACCTTGATATGCCAGTAATTTTTAAAAACCTAGTATTAATTACACATAAAACTATAATTTCTATTGTGAAATGAGGAAAAATACGTACCACTACTATTACCCTGAGATGGTTCGTTGAGAAAATCCTGAGTAGAATATCTCAAATAACAACCAGCAATTAAAGCTCTAGCATCTTTACTAGGAAAACATCCTTTAATTTCTCTACTTGCTTTATCCAAACACTCCCTACAACCTTTTTTACTCACAGTTTTCCAACACTGTGCCAATCCATAAACTCCGTTCAAATGCGCCACCGCATAACCACCGTTCGCCACCGCTGTCCCCGTCAAATTTGTAATCAAATTACCAGCAGTAACCTTTAACGTGGCCAATTCCTGTCCACTAGCCAATCCAATTGAGCTACTACAATTCACTTTATCTTCTTTCGAATCAGTTGTTTCATTGAAAAAATCATAAATATCGTAACGAAGAAAACAACCGTCGAGATAAATTCGACCAGATTTACCAGGAAGACAACGGGGTAGCCTCGTACGACTTGCTGCGTAACATAAAAGACAATCTGTACGAGGAAGATCTTCATAACAATTTGCTAAAGCGTAAATTGAAATATTTGTTGAATTTACGCCGTGACTTCCCCAACCGTGTTCCGGTACTCGTTGTGAAACAACTTCCATTAATTTAACGAACTGAGGAATTATCACAGCTGGTGATGTTCTGTTCGTACCACAGACAAGTCCAGCTTCTGAAATCCGAGGATCGGCTTCACAAATTAAAGAAAAACTGAACAAATAACTCAATAACAGTGTTAGTAATAGGAAATTTGAGCTAGAAAAATTCATGTCTTTTTTCGAAAGGACACCAGCAAGCTGCTACTGAATGCGAACAGAGTAGACTAAAAAGGCGAATGGCGAAGCGAACTAGGTTCTGCTTCTCCTTCGTCTTTCTTTATGTTATAGTAATAAAAATGGAAAAACAGGAAATGGTAGTTGGAAATTTCGAACGAAGAAGAGAGAAGAGGAGGCTATGGTTTGAAGCCAGAGAAAAGAATAAATGTATTTTTTTTTTCTTTTTTTGAGTGTTGTTGTTCAAAAATGATTCGTATACTTTACAGCCAACATTTGTGTGCTACGTTCCTCTTTTTATGTGTTCCCATTTGCTAAACTTGGATCTCTTTCTACAATTACTATTAAAAGTCTTTGTCTGCTTCTGCCTACCCTGATTTTATTAAGGTCCATTTTATAATTTATAATTCTTTGGAAATAATTTTAGTCTTTAACATATTCTTTATTCCTTATCTACTTGCTAATGGAGTATATCTAATACTACTTGTTTATTACTCAAGTCATAGTCATTAGTCAATTAAATTGTTTCTTGGTTGAATGTGCGTTGCCCCTTCATAATAGTCATTTAATAGTGATTTAAGAAGTTTCTACCTCCCTAAGAGTGTTAGTTTAAAAGATTTTATTTATAGTATATACCATGGTGAAATGAGAAAAATCACATCGACAATTCCAGACAAAGCTTAAATCCTTACCAAAATGAAAATTCTAGCCGAAGGATTAAAAGGAAATAAAACTAACAAAATGAAAAGAAGAAAAAAAACTTAAGCGGGGCGGAGGGTGAACGCGGGTGTGGGTGCGAAGTGAGTGGACGCGGGTGAAAGTTCTATGTGGGGCGGGGCGGGGCGGGTTGAAATTTCGCGGGTTAAAACAAAACACGCCCCGCACCACTTGCCATCCCTAGTAGTACGCCATGAATAAACATGTTTTTTTTTCTCCAAGTAAGAAAATAAGAGAAATAGAAGGGAATAAAAATAAGTACACAATTAAGAAGAAGAAATGTCGAAAGAAGGAAATTTGTCCAAAAAGAATCATGTACTTCATACATCACTAATGACATTATCTTACTTGGCTACCAAAAGCTAAAAAATTGTACAAAAAGAAGAAGATGATGAAGAAGAAAAATAATTACACAATAAAAAGAAATGTAAAAGAAGGAAAATCAAGAACTTGATACATCACTAATGACATCTTACTTGGCTACAAAAATCTATAATTGTAGTTGTAAAAACATACAATAGCAAGTGCTCATACCTGTCAACATAATGATAAATGGCGAAATTCACGTGGTAATATTATTATAACGAAAACAAACAAAAAATGATTCCTAGGTTGCACCTATGATCCATATATTCCACACCTCTGTCGGATGATCATACGCAAGTTAATGGTAGGTATTATATGCTACATTCACGTTTTATTTTATTCTTATATATACTGATAATATAAAGTATTTTAATATTGTTATTATAGCTCAACCTATTGTAACAGATTGCCCGTCTTATTATTACATTACTTAATATATATGTATAAGTTTTTCTTATTGGAGAAGACTCATTACTAGAAATTCGGCCAAAATCCACTGCGTCCAACCGACGATCGAAGTCGGTCAAAAAATTGACTGAAAACCGATCGAAGTCGGTAGGTTTTCAAAATATTTTATTTTTTAATTTTTTTACGAAACCGACCGACTTTTGTCCGTTTTTTTTTTGGCGCAAAAATGCGGGAATCTACTTTAGCAGCCCGCAAAATTTATTTTTTAAGAAATCGATCGAAATCGGTCGGTTTTTCATATAAATAAATTAAAACTAATATTCAAAAAACCGACCGAAATCGATCAGTTATATCAGTCAGTCATTTTAAAATACCGACCGATATATTTTTAATAAAACCGACCGAAATCGGTTGGTTATTCTTCTTGAAAAGAAATTAAAGAGTACAAAAAAATTAAAAGAAATTCTTAAAAACAATATGTACCAGTAGTCTAGTGGTAGAATAGTATCGTCCTGCCACAGTACAAACCCTAGTTCGAGTCCAGACGGTGCATTTTGTAACTGCATAATTAAAAATACCGACCAACTTCGATCGGTTTTTTCGGCAGATTTTTCCTTTTTGGGTCGTCTGTGAAAATTAAATTACCAACCAAAATCTATCAGAAATTGCGACCGACTTCGGTCGTTATTTATTACCGACCAACCTATTTTCGACGTATTAAAGTCGGTCGAAAATCGGTCGGTCTTTTTAGTTTTCCGACCGATTTCGATCGGTGTTTCTAGACGGTTTTAAGCAGTTTTCTAGTAGTGACTAGCCTTTTAATGTTCATAATAGTTTGTTTTTTTTTGGGTAACGATCGAGTAGCTAGTTACAGTAGTACGTACTCCTTATGTGTTCCAACTATATGGTACTCTTTTAATTTTGGAATTTTTACATTCCTATACCACATAGAAAATCTTTTTACCCTCAATGTTTAAGGTTTGACTTAATTACACTTAGTATACCAAATTACCATTTCTATACCATAACTAATTAAGGGTATAATTAATGAGATATTTTTTACTCCTTAATTAAAGGGTTTCCGTTACCCGCCCAGTATCTCCACTCCTCCCTTACTTTCTCTCTCCGAATCCCTTAGCCCCGTACCCACGTTCTTTTACCCATACCCAGTAAAAAGGTTGTGGAGGATTTGAGCATGTTTAACCAATTTCTATTATTTTCATTGCCATAAACGACGAGATTACCGTAAGTTTATAAATAAAATAATTGTGGTTTGAGTGATAATGGATACTGGTAGCAGAGGCGGACCGAAGATTTGAAGGTGACGGGGGCACCATTACTTTTCAATATAGCTATACATATCTCTAGCTTTAAAGTTTAGTGTACAACTCTCTTGAAGGGTATGTGAGGTCTTTTGATTTAGGAATTTAATTAGAAATAGAAGGGGGCGGGAAGTTCGAGGGAAACAAAAGCAAAAAAAAAAAGTAATTAAAAAAAAGTTATTTGTAGTTGTGATGTTCTGCCTTTTGTGGTTGTAGATATTTTGTGGACAAAATAGTTTTATTGCTGTATTTTACTGTTTGTAGTGTAATTGTAGTTAGTTTGTAGTTTATGTAGAACATTACAAGATTAATTGTAGTCTAAAATGTAGATATAATGTAGACATGATTGTGGATGATGTGTTGCCTGTTTGCCCTGTAACTGTAGGTAAATTGTAGTTATTTTTATATTAGGTACTTAAATTGTAGGTAATTTGTACATTCACTGTAGGTAAACTGTAGGTAAATTTGTTTAAATTGTAGAGCTGGTTTTATACATAATTGTAGAGTTTTTGTAGTTAATAGTAGTTATAATGTACGATTCATGTACCGCTTCACACCATCTATCACAGTAAGGATATGATCTGTTGAAGCCCTCACCTAGAATTACATAACAAACAACAATAAAAATATTTACAATCATAAAATTGTTTATCTACAATTTATCTACAACGTATCTACAATTATATCTACAAATTATCTACAATCTACAAATTAACTATAATTTGTATACAAATTATCTACAATCTCACTTTGATATTCCTCTATGACGGGAGAGGCTGGCATATCCCACACTGTAGTTTATTTGTAGATAAATGTAGGTATTTTGTAGATATTATCGTAAAATCAGACTTCCATATTGAAATCTCGTACACTTATGAGTAACGGATACAATCCTAAGTTTTTATTCTCCTTTTTTGTCTCCATATACGCACTAACCCTCATATTGTTCCAAATCATCGTTGGAGGACAATTCTCATTCACAATGTATTTGATTTCTACAAATTTTTCTAAACTATCAACCATTAATTGCCCTGCAATTATAGAAATCAACATACTGTAACTTGCATCCTCATCGAGCACAATGCCATCAACTTGAAAATCTCTAAATCTGCCATAGCTATCCCAATTTTCATTAAAATGTAGCATGATTGGGATTTTGGACATGATTGCTTGTCGTTGCAGAGTTATTGTTCAATATTTTATCGTTTTTTTGATTTTTTGGATTCATTAAAAAAAAAAAAGACGAATAACAGAGAATCGCAGAATTAATTTCTACAATTTGACTTGAACTTTTTGATTAGGGATTGATGAAAAAAGTCGACAAACTGAGATTTGCAGAACTGATTTCTACAATTTGGAATTGAGCTTCTGATTTCGATGAACTGATAGTTTGATTTGTAGCGACGAACTGATATTTTGATTTCGACGAACAGAATTTGTTTATAAATTGAAGATGAGCGATTTCCGTGATATGATATGATCTTATTCACGCCAAATCTGTTCAGAATATTCTGCTCCTAAAATTTAGCTCGCAAAAATAGGAAGATACAACTGCTATTAATTAGCTTTTAATAATTTGTACAAAAACTGTAGAAATAATGTGGACTGGACGGGTAATTTAGGAATTATGCACATTTTTAGTAATAAAGTTTCATATATGGTATAGGTAAGAAAAAATCCCTTTAATTTTTCAACATATCAAAATATGCTAGTCCATTAAAAATCTACGTAGTTTTACACGACTTCCGTAAATTTCAAGAATTTTAATTCATTTAATTAATTGGATTAAACTTTGACGTGATAAGTTCTCTATTAAACTAAATTTTCAAAATTGCTCTATTATATATCGTCAATTGTCACCTATAACTTAAAGTCAAATTGAAAATTTTAACTCCATGTCTATTGAAATGGTGTAACATAAATGAATGTAAAAACTGGAGTACTAATTTTTGAAAATATTTCTTTAAATTAAGAATCAACTGTGAATACAAAAGGACAGTATAGTAGTTGAATCAACCAACGAATTTGGTTTTTTTGTTTTTTCATAAAAAAGAGGAGGACAAGAAATTAAGAAAAGAGGACTAACACACATAGACAAAATCTACACACAAATATAGTAATATATAACATTGCTTTTACGTATTAAATACTTCTTTATGAAGCCATTATTGGAAGAAAACAATGCAATTTAAGTAGAGTAGTAGGTATGTCAATCTCGTTGTTTTTCTTCAGATCGAATTACTAAAAAATAGAATCTCCTTGACTGAAGGAAAATATACCAATTTTTCCCTTCATTTTCTCATGCCCCTCTTTCTGGAAGGAATGCTTCTAATAATAGCAATATATAAATAAGAAGATGAATTGAATGTCAACCATCGACGACAAAATAAAGCTCTTGTTTTTATATTTACGTTATTATATATTATTACTCTATGTACCCCCGTCACCATCTCTATAGCAGAAGTTATTGACTAACAAAGTAATTAACAATATAAATTTCAGGATTGTTATAAATAGAATTTT